TGTTGATTGATTGTATGTCCTCTTCTGAGAAGTGTATGTTCAGGTTCTTGGCCCATTTGTTGATTGGGTTATTTGGGTTTTTGTTTGTTTGTTTGTTTGTTTTTGGTGCTTAGCTTTTTGAGATCTTTATATACCCTAGACATTAGTTCTCTATCTGATGTGTGAGGGGTAAAAATTCACTCCCAGGATGTAGGCTCTCTGTTCTTTCTTTTACCAAGAAGAAACTTTTTAGTTGGATTCCATCCCATTTATTGATTCTTGGTTTTAATTCTTGCGCTATAGGAGTCTTATTAAGGAAGTTGGGGCCTAATCCCACATAATGAAGATAGGGCCTACTTTTTATTTTATTAGATGCAGAGTCTCTGGTTTAATTCCTAGGTCCTTGATCCACTTTGAGTTTGGTGCATGGTGAGAGATAGGGGTTTAATTTCATTTTGTTGCATATGGATTTTAGTTTGCCCATCACCATTTCCATACTCCCAATTTAATCTATGCTAATAGATAAAATTTATTATCCATCTATTTTCACGATGAACATTTCCCACCTCTAGTTTTCCATATGAGAGCAAGATATGATTTTTTTTTTCTGAGACTGGCTCATATTGTTTAACATGATGTTTCCCAGTTTAATTCATTTTCCTAAAATTGACTTCATTTTGTTATATATGCATAGAAACCTTCCTTGTGTATATATACCACATTTTCTTTATCCATTGTCTTATTTTACAAGCATCTGTTCTGATTCTCTAACTTGCCTATTATGAATAGTGTCATGATAAAGATGAGCATATGTGTATCTCTAATGAAGGCTGACTTTAAATATTTTCTAATACTGAAGAGTAGTATAGTTGGATCAATAAGTAGGTCTATGTTAGTTTTTTGAGTAGCCTTCATACTGATTTCCATAGAGGTATAATAATTTATAATAATTTGTGGTCGTGCCAAGAGCATATAAGAGTTTTTTCTTCTAAATGCTTCCTAGTGTTATTTGCTTTCTTGATGATTACTTTTCTGAATGGTGGAAAATGGGAGC